TAAAGAGATTAAAAATTAGATTGAGTTGAACAATTGATATTTTCAAAAATTATTGTGTTTACCCATCCATGCAGACACCACTGCGGACATAAGCCACTAAAACCACTTTTTAATGTAAAAATAGTAATTAATCAATTCAAAAAAAAAAATAAGTTCAACAATCATTTATCTTTCATACAGTATGGTTTTTATATCATTTATATGTTGAATATTATGATTGTTGGATACGATTTCACGCGACAAAAAGTTGGATTCTTTATTTTTATGCGCTAGTAGTACATACCTGCGTGCGTACCAGATCCAATGTAAGCTGTATTTTTAATTTTTATATATGTAGTTCTAAACATTACTGGATAAACAGCAGCGGAATTGATTGATTAATAAATAATAATAAACGAAGTTTCTTATACAACTTGAAATCGAACTGAAGAAATTTAAATTAAAATAAATTGGAGGATCGTTCTTATAAATTCATGCGGAGCGCTTCGCCTACTCAAAAATTAATCATTCTGCAATATTTTTAGCTAAATTGGTCTTAGTGACAATTTCATATTAAAGTATTAAGCCTCCTTCTTTATAAAGGGTTTTTCAATTGGCGTGGGTAGCTTTTTGCGACCCGTGGCAAACATTTTGTTTATTTTGTTTGGGTATGGTCAAGAACTTTGAACTCCTGAGTCAGTTGAATCTTTTACGGGTGTAGGCCTAAGTCCTGACGCCAAATGAGACAGTTTATTTTTGTATGTAGAGTGGGCCTACTACAAATTTTAATGATTACTAATCATGAATATCATGAAATGCATACCGATTTATTCCTTATAATCTATAGATTACAATAATATTATTAGTATTATAATATTATAATATCATTAAAATGAAAATGTGAATCTAACAATAACCTAAAAACAAACTAAAAGCGATTTCATAGTAGTATTCATCAGTATTATAAGTTAAAATAGTGCACAGTTGAATAATAGTACATATAAAATAAAGTTGTTAGTATATACAGTATTTATAAATACTTTAAGATTGATGTAAAATCTTTCACTAGTTTTGGCAAAACATAGCGTCTGTGCATAAATGTATGGATTCTATTTTTGACATGTATTGATTGATTGTAAGTTCCAAATACCAAGACGGCTAAGGGATAACATGTCCATTCATATATATATAATATTACCAACACACGGTAAAAAATATGTTTTTTAAAATGGTTATATTACAAAAATAAAATATAATGTAGGTAACTGTCTTTATTGTTGTAAATCATAATTTCTTTAAGTATTATATTAATAGTAGTAGGTACAGAAACAGAATCCTTTTATTCAATTTAGATTATAAATGATACCTATTGAAATTCACTTTTTTTAATTTACCACTGGTTCAGAAAAAACTTCTTTCTTGAAGAGAGCCAGCAAAATACCGTGAGACTTTTTTTTAAATAACAGCTTACAATCATGTGTGTTATAATTAACAACACAGAACAAATTAGAAATAGCTTGGTAGCGATCACCTTACCCAGGGGTTATTATCATCCATAAATTCCTTTATATTAGTAACCCTTTTTATACAAACTTAGTTTAATGAAGTTTCTGAACTTTGATGATTGACTGAGATAGACAGACAGGAGCGGTGTCAAGACTTTGTTTTAATATGTTTTGGTTGATTACAAAGTACTTATACATCATAATAAAATGACTGGGAATTAACATGCTTATCTACGTTATTACACAATGATAAATAGTGAGGAAGTAAGATGTTTTAAACTGTTGGTGTAAGGATTACGAAATCACAGGCATGATTTAAATGTATTTATTACTAGCGATCCGCCTCAGCTTTGCACTGGTGATTTATGGATCTTGACAACAGTGCCATTTACCATATCCAAATGTAAATATAAACCATCTAGGGATCCATTCAAACACACACAAACATTTCGATTAAAATTGTTTGAATGGTTTCTTATGTTTGGTCTATAATGTACATAGGTAGAAACATTTTTGTCTTAAATATATTTCTGAAGATTTTTTGAAAATAACTTGATCATACCATGTCCATTTATGATTTTGTTAGCAATCAAAAGGGCATTTTCAATGATAAGAGATATGATAATATCCATACACTTTTTGTCTCTGCATGCTTTCAGCCTGCATGTCATGCAGATTTGTTCGAAGCGATCCACCTGAAAAGAAGTTAATGAATATTGTAAAGGTGTCTTAACTAAATAGTAATTCTTATCAATATATTATTTTTTCTATATAATATAGGAATCAAAAGGACATTTTTAATAATAAAGAGATATGAGATAAGACTATGCCTTCAATGTGAATAAACTATATTTACATATTTCTGTCAGCATTTTCTTAAATCTGCCTGTACATATGTTAAATAAAAAAGAAATTATTATAAATTATACAGCATTAATCAGCTCCAGCTGATCAAATACAAAATAAAATTCAACAAGACTAAAATCAACGATATTCGACTATGCAAAAGTTGTCTCACATTTTATTTTCATTGGTTTCATGTACATAGGAGAAAAAGATATTATTGTTATATTAAGTATATCTGATTCTAGATGACAAAATAATATTCCTTTCTGCAGAGTGAACAACAGAGCTGTCTAAGCATAATAGATATAACCATTACACTTTTTTATGCGAACTATTATTATTCAAACTTTATACTTGCTTTTAGTACAAATAATTACTACATTTTTTACACATAAATATATGTACATTTAATATTGCCTATCTACTATGACTCATTGAGTTATACAACACAAATCAATGCTATGACTGGTATGTCACATTTAAGAAACTAATAAGGTTCTAAGACCTGTTTGTTATTTGTATTTGTTTTACATAAATCAACAAACTTAATGGTTAATATTTCCAATATGGACCATCGATTTCAAAGCCCATATTTTTTTGTAGATAGTACTCACTAAAAGAAAGCGTTTTGCAAAGTTTTAGGTTGCGAAAACTTACGGTACATGAGATATATTTTTTTAAACTTTTCATACAAATTGGCAAATAACACGCAATTACACCAATTACAAAATGAATTTGACAAATCATTGATGTCAAACGTCAATTAGTGTAGGTTCCGAATATTTTGAAAGTATCGATACGTACTCGATACCAAGTATCGTATCAAAAGTATCAATACTACTTGGTATCGAGTACATTTCGTTAATTTTGGAGACTAGGGGGGTAAGAAGCCGGGAAGTTGTGCTCCGGCGCTCCGTGGCAGCTCCGGCGCTGCGGGATGAGCAGTGCCTCCGGGTAGGGAAGCACAGGCACCTGGGCTGGCACTGCTCTCCCTCCTTTTTTTTTTTTTTTTTTTTTTGCGCCCGAAGCAATTAAAGGGCTACCCTGTACGTAGGGAGGCGGAAAATGCATTACGCATACCACGATAGCCGGTCTATCGTGGTTATGGGGGACTCACTGTCCTACCGGGGACCCTAAGTGATACCCCCTAAAAACCGCCTTTAGGGACAGGCAACCGGCTGATTAAGTTCTATTGTGCCTTATCATGAGCGACCCTCTTTTGGGAAAAGAGGGCGCAGGCGGCTAAGTGCCGCTGAGGGAGTGCCTACGAAGGCAAATTAATGTCAGATATTACAATAATTTTATTTAATTAGAGTTGGCCTGAGCTGCCAGGAGACAGTTCAGGTCGTTTGAAAGTTTATTAGGCGGGTCCGAGAGAGAGTTTCTCGGCCTGCGGACACGATAGCGAGAGGGGGGTGGGGCTGCATAAGAAGCTGCCTCACGAATTAAGTGGTTTGGGTGCGACTCTGAGGCTTTGAAGAAGTTCTCAGAGAGTTTTTTAAGAAATTGTTGAATTGTTGGGAGCTCTAAGTCCCGATGAAGGTCGGCATTGCGGACGTACCACGGTGCGTTCGCAGCTCGACGACAGAATAGGTTCTGAACTATTTGGAGTTCATTTAAAATGTTAGGGTACTCTCCCTCCGCGCCTCCGGGCTCTTATATACACTCTAGGGGTAGGGCAGACAAGACCACGTGGACAGTGGGGTGCTCTGATTCGGTTTTGGGTACTTTTTGAATATTAAATAAGTAAGTCAATAAGTAAGTAAACACTTTATTGTAGTAAGAATTAGATAATACAGAAAGTTGCGAACAATAAAATAAAAGTACAAAAGCTGTACTAATTAAGAAATACAAACAAGTTGCAAACAATGAAATACAAGTACTAAGGTGGAACTTAAATAGAGTAAACTTTATTCTACTTTATATACATATATAATTGCACTTATCAGCTCTTCCTATGCATCTAATTGGTTTGTCATAATTTTTCGTCTCCAAAATTAACGAAATGTACTCGATACCAAGCAGTATTGATACTTTTGATACGATACTTGGTATCGAGTAGGTATCGATACTTTCAAAATATTCGGAACCTACACTAACTGACGTTTAACATTAATCATTTGTCAAATTTATTTTGTAATTGCGTGTTATTTACCAATTTGTATGAAAAGTTTAAAAAATATATCTCATGAACCGTAAGTTTCCTCAACCTAAAACTTTGCAAAACGCTTTCTTTTAGTGAGTACTATCTACAAAAAAAATATGGGCTTTGAAATCGATGGTCCATATTGGAAATATTAGCCTAAAAATCAAACGTATTTGTGCGACCAGTATTTCCAACCTCAAAAAACTAGAAAACAACAACTCGCCTAAAAAAAAAACAGTAGAAAGCAGTAGGTAAAGAAAAAAAGGCAGATTTCATAATTTTGCTCATATTATTAAATAATAAACAATTTTCTTAGTTACTAGAACTCACATACATTAATATATTTATAATCACAACAACAAAAAACAAAAATCAAAGTAAAATTATTTTTCAGTTTCATTTTCAATTGCCTCATCTTCAATATTTTCACACTCATTTTTATTTTTATAATCATACATATTTTTGTCAAATTACTTCATGTGCCTTTCTGTGGCTTTAAATGAATAGCAATCAGTAATTTCGGATTAAGTGTGTAATACTTCTTTAATAGCTGTAGTCGATATTATGTTGCGTAATTTGGTTTTCATAATATTTATAGCAGAAAATAACCTTTCCACGGCGGTGCTGCTATGTGGTAGGCACAAAAGCTTTTTTACCAATTCACACAATGTAGGGAATGTTTGAGATTCGTCTCCATTTCTTAATTCTTGTACATGTTTCCAAAGGTCGATAATATCGGGAGTTTTGTTTTGGTTGAAAGAAAAATCGACATTTCTTAACATTCGCCATTCTCTATCCAGTTCCGTTATATTATTTGGACAAATCTTTGGGAAGAAATAATGTAAATCTGCAATGGAAGGGAATTTCTTTTTTATTTCAAGATCCAGAATTGCTTTAGGATTTTGCATCTTCAGACATTTTAATGCTTGACGGGCTTTGTCGTCAAAAGGAAACCTTTTTAATATCTGTTTTGCAGCCTCCATATAAAACTCCTTACACTTTAAGTAGACATTTTTCAGCTGTTCTTCCTCTAGTTCTCCTATTTCTCTCTTTCTTCTGATCATATTTGGCACCATTCCAACGGTAAATGTTTCTGCTCACTCGAGAAGTCAAGGTTTAATATTTTAGTTCCCTTTGCGTCTAAAATATTTTGTGCTTCATTTTTTCTTGTTCAGTAAGATTCAAATATTCAGTTTTTACAAAGCATTCCAAGATAGTTGTGTATGCGGTCAGTATTTTGTTGTATAGTAAATATAATTTCGGAGTCTCGGATTGCATTTCTTTATTGAGATCGGTAAATATAGGTAATGCAAATTTCAAAAATTCCAGGTACAATTCAGTTGTCGTTCGAAAGCCTTGGAGAGAATTGATTGCGCAGAAAGTAATCTATCTACATGAACTGCAGCTTGAAAATACAATTTTATAGCTGGTAATTATTCCAGAAGCCTATTTACTACCTCAATAAGTGACAACCATCTGGTTTCGCTAGGATGGAGCAATTTGTGTGGTTTAATATTTGTGAATGCTTGAAATGTTTTGAAATCTCCAATACGTTTTTGGAGAATTTTGTATATGATTATATACGTCTCTACAGAAATCTTCCACGCCCCTTGGCAATTTCTCACATGCGTATGATGCGCAAAGGGTAAAAGAATGACAAATGCACTTCATAGTAAACAGGTGAGGTATGTCATTTTTAAACAAAGTGACCAATGAATGTTTATCTCCAAACATAACGTTAGCGCCATCAGAAGCAAAGCCTATCATGTTTGATTTGTAAGAATTATTTTTTTCAACAAAATATTCTACTGTTTTGCCATACAACGCTGTTGCTGTACCATCTGCGATTGGTATTAAAGTCATAAATCTATCTTCAACGCTGAAATATAATTTTACTATTCTTACGACAAGCGTTAAATGTTTTATCGTAGACTTATCTGTGCTTTCGTCAACAAGTAATGCAAAGCAATTGTTCTGTAACATATCTATTATATTTTCTTCTGCTGTCTGCCCAGTTATATTAACAATGATAGCTCTAGCTTTTGTGCGGCTCATTGATAATTGTTCAGCAATTTTCGAATCATATCATCATACAGCGCAAATCAATTTATTCAAATGAGATGCTATGTTAAAAGACAGATTATGCTCAGCAATAAAGCAGGCCATTTTTACTTCACCCGCTTTAGCTATAATTTTTGTATCTTGTGAGTTGGAAGCTGAGGTAAACATTGATGTCAGTTTTTGTTGTTTTTGTAATTTCAAACTATTCTTCGCGTGTTTTGTTGAATCTTTGTGTCGTAACAGTTCGTGTATACCACATTTTCTGTCGCAATTATACGCAGAACAAAAGAAATAAGTCTTACATATAGTTCTTTTCTTTAACCAGCCTTTGAACCTATTATTTTTTAACCACAAATTTACGAATTTTTGTTCATATTTCACATTTTTCTTCTTAGGAGGACTTTTCCCAGTCGATGAATCACTACTCATTTTATCAAAAACGTTGTAATTATTGTTTTTTTTAATAGACTCCGCAATTCAAAGAAACTGTTCAGGGTGTTGTGACTATAAAACAATACATTAGGCGTGTAGCTGTCATTCAGAAATTGTGATTTCCCCGTGCATAAAAATATGATTGTCAAACACATATAAGATACTCCCATCTAGTGTCATTTCGTTTTATTACGTAGTGGTTATCAAAAAATGTTTGCATAGCAGTGTAATAGGTAGCGCTAAACGCTAGTTGAAAAACTGTAGAAAATAGGAATGAAACAGAAATCAATGTGAAAACAGCAAATCTACTGTTAAAACAGTAGGGTTGGTAATAGTGTGTGCGACCATCAAAAATATACTTCTTTATTAAACTGGCTTTACGGCTCTGGTTTCTAGACCTTCTGAGCCTATCCTTTCTTTCGGAATATTCATTTTATGTTCTTTTTCTTCACAATATGCTGATGCGTCACATTGCGAAGCACTTGGGAGATTTTGACGACAGCTCAACCTAGCGGACAGTTGATGACGACAGCCACTCAACTTCATAAGGCTCCCAAGCGATCAAAATAACTTGAGGTTTATATCGACATCAAAGCACTTGTTTCGTCGTTTTCTCTAATAATTCACACGCGCGGACACTTAGTTCACAAAATCGCATCACTTTTACGAATCAAAATCCACTTCAAACCATTATTCAAGCGACAAAACAGGAGCGACAATCCGTCTACGGCCTAGTTCCCGCCAAAACTCCCCATCATAAATATTTAATAGCTCCTCTACACGATGGGCCAACGCTAGCCATGGTTGGCCTGGCGATGATCATTCACGACATTCAGTTGTGATCGAAACGTTTTTTCGAGATGGACGTGGAAGAATTAGCCGCTGCGGCAATATATTTATACAATATGGCCTTTTTTTTATTGTCTTTTTGTAATGTGCACAAGAATAGAGTTATCGAAAAGAAATGGCGTAGAAAATGGTGGATGTTATCTTCTATCCATCGCAATAGAACTAAATATTTCCTGACTCAATTTAGTTTTCTTTTAACAAAAATAATTAAATAATTATAACTACTTATTAATGATTTAATAAATAATTATTAATTAATTCTTAAAAATAAATAAATAAAAAATAAAATATGTGGGTATATATTCTGATTTTAGTAGCTCTATGATTAAAATTTTATAACTTTATTAAGTTGTCACATAATCTTCATTTTTAATTCGTAATTAGAAACAAAGCACAAACGTCACACTCAACTGTCAAGCGCGCACAACTGCGGAATGGGCCACGTGTAGATGCCTACCACCATCGCTGGCCCACTACCTTTGATGTGCGGCCGAAAAACCGACACCGTCGCCATCCCCAAGACTGTCGCATGCGCCATAAGCCATCCGAGTCCGACACAACTACGCATACTACGCCCTCCACACGTTGGCCCATCATAGTGGGCCATCGCGTTGGCCCAACGTGTAGAGGGGCTATAACCAATAACCACACTTTATTATTTTCTTCTTACCATAAACCATAATGATGCGACCAATATACACAGTAATCTATGGATGCGAATCGAACCATATGAATCATATGAAATAATCGGACAGCCATACGATGCCGAAGTGTTATCTAGGGGGTTCACTTTGAGAAAATGGGCGTCGAATAACAACGAACTGCTCTGTAGCTTAGGTAAATGTCAGATTAAAGAAAATTTAATTTTTAATTTTAAAACTGAACACGCAACACAGACTCTCGGACTCTGTTGGTTGGTTACTTTCTGTTGTAACTTGTCTATTTTAAAAATTAAACCCACAAAAAGATGTTTGCTTTCAGAAATTTCAAAATTATACGACCCATTAGGCTGGCTAGCACCCATTTCAACAAAATTAAAAATATTATTTCAAGAAGTATGGAAGTTAAATATTTCTTGGAATGAAAACATACCGGATAACATACAACATGAATGGCGGAAAATTCGGAGCGATATGAATGATATACAACAATTTGAAATCCCTCTGTAATAGTGGAGACGAACTGTCCACTATTAACAGACTCCGAGTGGTTTTCTTCAAGGTGGAGAAATGAAACTACTGTTTATGTTTATGAATGTACTGTCGAATGGGATTCGGAATGGAATGGAATATATTTTGCATCAACCTTGCCTATATTTATATGGCTGGCTCACTATTGATTTGCCAATGGTAACAATTAATATTTTGCCTAGCCAATTATATTGCTTATTTTATGACCAATGAAAACTATTTAAAATATACAATTATCTACGTTTCGTTTCCCGGCGTGAGACTTGTTTGTTGTTCACGAAGCTACGTCGCTGGACCGGGCTATATAAGACATGCAGATCGGTGCGCACGCGTAGTCGGCGGGCGGCGGCGGTGTGGAATACAGCTCCGGAACAGCAAGAGGAAACGAACTGCGGCGTTGAAGAAACGGCTCACCATTGGTCGACGGATACGTGACGATAGCGGCGTGTGAAGTCGGTGTGGCGCTGAATGATATTTGCGGCTGCTTCTTGTTTCTTTATAAGAACGTCAAATTATCTATATACAGTCCGCAGTATCTCAGTAGCCAAGAATAATTAGGAAATAAAATGTTTTTTTTATTTATTCTCGCCTTCCGCGTTATGGTAGCAGCGGAGTATATATTATTTATTCCCGTTTAGGTTTGATTAATCTGGCTGCTACATCACTCTCCCCCCAGCGAAAGCGTACCGGAGGCTTGACGACTCGCCCGTATTTCGTAGTTTTTTAAAATAGGTTTCAACTGGGTTGATGTAGATGATAAAGTTTCAAGCTTCCTCGCTGGTGGTTTTGATGATGATGATGAATCCTCTGCAGTATCCTCGTTAATAATATAGGCAGGCTTTAGTCGGTCGATCGATATAATCGTAGATTTCCTTCCGGGTATTTGTAGTTTAAAAGTCTTGCTATTTCTCTCTAATACTTTATACGGTCCATCGTAGGTAGGTTGAAATTGTTTTTTCATTGCGTCGTTTCTTACAAAAACTTGCTTGCATGTTTTCAAATCTTGGTGAATGAATACTGATTTATTATTTCTGTGTGATTGCATTTCGGTGCATTTCAACGATAAGGCTTTGTTAATTGATTCTCGAAGTTTAGTTACGAAATCGTAATCCATTTCTTGTTTGTTTGACGCTGCTGAACTGAAGAAGTCACACGGCAGCCTTATGCTGCAGCCGTAGGTTAGCTGAGCGGCGCTAAGACTAGTGTCTGCACGCGGTGTTGCTCGTAGTCCGAGTAGCACTGTAGGTAGCTCATCAATCCACTTTGTATGTTGAGATAAACGAGTTTTGAGTGCAGTCTTTAATGTACGATGCCATCGTTCGATTATTCCGTTTGACTGAGGATGGTATGCTGTTGTACGCGTCTTCTGTATTCCCATAGTTTGAAGAAGTTTGAGGAATAGGTTGCTTTCGAAATTCCTTCCTTGATCCGTTGTGATGGTTTTAGGTGATCCGAAACGAGTAATCCAATTTTCATAAATTATCTTCGCGACGGATTCGGCTGAAGTATCATCGGTAGGTATTGCTTCTGGC